GATGTCTCCTATTTCCTCAAAACTAAGCGAGCAAAGTGTTGAGAACAAAGCATGCTGACTTCATAAAATTACCTACCTTGAAAATAGTTGCAGAAGAAATAGAAACCCTGCAGAATTGCACTCAGAGCTGTCATGGGCTTGATTACCAGCCATTTTGTGACCTCGCATTCCTTGCCGTAGACCACTGGGAGGACGATGAACAACTGGACTCCCAAAACAGCTGGAAATTAAGCCTATAGCTGACAGGAATTGATTAGATTTAGGGATGGACCATCACTTTTTTGGGGGAGTGGGGGGTTGGGATATTTCCTGGGGCATGATTTTTTTTTTACACCTTTAGGTCAGACATGATTTTTCTTTGGTAGGAAATGGCTTTTGCAAGAATTGTTTCAACATCAAAAATCAAAATTATGATTATAGTTGAAAGCACTTGCTCAATTTTTTTTTTCTCCACAGGTCCACTTGCACAATTCTTTGGGCAGTTTTTGCTGTGCGGGAAGTTTATTTTTGGAAATTTCCCAACCACCACCCCACCCCCTCAAAAAAATGACCTATCCCTTAAGCAGTTTGTCAACAGTTTTGGTTTAGGCGTCACTAACCTGGTGTCAAGCATACCTGACTTTTTCCCCATTCACACCAACTTAACTAGTTTAATTAAATTAGGTTTTTAGCTTTTTTCAGTTTGTCAATTACACTTTGCAGTCACTTTGAGAAGAAAAATTTCAAAGCGTCTTGCTAACATATTTAGCTATATTTGAATCAAACAGGTTTGCTTGCGGTTAGCATTTACATACTGTTTGCTAGACCAGGAATAATTGAAGTGGTTATTTGAGGAAAATTTGAGTTAGAATTCTACCAAAACAATTAGATTATTCGCTCTCGATTTCTGAGGCAATTGTTGATTTGGCCTTCAGCCTCATGAACTATCACCTCATAGAAATCTTGAGCTCATAATCTAAAGTCAAGAAGGACACATATATAGTTTGCTTTTATTTACTGCTATTTGCTTGCAGTTAGCATTTATTTACTGCCGTTTGCTTGCAATTAGCATTAATTTACCACTGTTTGCTTGTGGTTAGCGAGAGGTGAAGAGCAAAGCAACCAAATGTCCTCCACGAATTACTAGTATATGCCCTACCTCTGCATATACAAAACAGGGTAATGAGTGATAGTCAAACCTGTATTAAGCGGTCACCCTCGGGGAATGGCTAAGTGACTGCTTAATACAGGTTGTACAAAATACAGGTCAGAACACAGTGAAAATGCCATTTTATATCACAGTTAATGACGGAAGGGAAGCGCATAAACAAAGGTGGTGGCTATGGTCTAGAAGTGCCATGTGAATATCATTTTCAAGGGGATGACTTCTTGCATAACTGACTTAAACAGAAATTCATGAAAGAAGAATTAGATCCAAAATGCTGACAAGACTTTTGACCTTAAGGCAGAAACATTAATATCCCGCAATTTAATGATTTGTGAAACTAAACAAGGAAATCAATTACCTGGTGTGCTATTTGTAATTGTATGAACTAGTACGAGTGGTTTCCTATTACAAAGTGACCGTTTAATACGGGTCAAGACAATAGAGACAGCTCGTCAGGACTTGGCAAAGGGTGACCGTGACCACTTAATAGAGGTGACCGCTTAATAGAGGTCAAAATTAAAGTAATTAAGGGAAGTAATTTTCGCGACTTTGAACACTGACCGCTTAATACAGGTTCGACTGTACATCAAACATAAAGACCTTGTTTGACCACATTTCCAAACACCGTCTTCATATATCTTCTCTATCAGAATTAAAACTAAGGAGAAAACAGAGGAATAAAACTGTAAAGAATCTATGCTAATTTAGATCGATGTCCAAACATCACAGTCAAGTTCCTTTCTTATTTAAGTCAGATTGCATCATGGAGCATACAGCACTTTTGCTGTACTTGGTTGCCCTGCTGCTGTACAATCATGCAGAGAATCATAATCAAAAGCTTCTGCAATTCACGTCTGGACAAAAAAAAATTGTGCAAACACAAGATTTTTTACTTTTATGTAACCACACAGGACAACTTGTCTTTTTCTTATACTAGGACAATATTATTACAGCTTTATTTTCAACTACACTTTGCTAGTTTTCTATAAAAAATAACCGACATTAAAATTGAAACAGTAGCTATAATTCTAACCATGCGCAATACACAATAGATAGGCGGATAGAAAAGGACATATTAACCTTCTCAGAAATATACAAGTTTGTAAAATACTGCAAATTCCAGTTCAAACAGCTGCACATGTCTCGAACTTCAATCTCGCCTCTAATGCAGACAATGTTCTAACTCATCTCATCGCCTTAACTGCATGTTGACAAGCGACAAATTAAGTCTAGATTAGGAGGTGACTTCCAGGCTTCCCTTTCATGCAAATGGAGTTCAACATATGCTAACTTAAGTCTTTGGCTGTGAAATTAACAAGTGTAAAAAAAAAATCACTCAAACACAAGGCATCAGAACTTGGCTCTGCACAGCTTGATCAGAACAATCTACAAAGAAAGCACAACAAAAAATCATGTTGGTTATTAATGTGGTTTCATGGTTAATGCAACCATTTTCAACTGCAAAATAGCCATGTGTGATAAAGATAAAGCCTGGTCCTCACTAGCAACGCAAGCATAAGCATAAGCATAAAAGAACCTTATGCACTAATGGGGACAGCCACCACATAAGCATAAGCATAAGAATATCAAAACATTGCGTTCTTGTTATGCTTATGCATATGTCCCTATAGTGTCCACTGAGGACACGTTGGCATAAGCATAAGACTATCAGCCAATCAACGAGCACTGTAAGCTTATGCCAACATGTCCTGACTGAACATAAGTATAAACATAAGAAGAAACCTCATGCCTATGCTTGTGTTGCAGCTGTCCTCACTAGCACATGAGCTTCTTACTGCTTATGTTTATACTTATGCTAGCATTGCAAGTGAGGACCAGCCTTAACCTCAAGTTTGGAAATGTTCAAAAGTCTATGATAAGAACTGATTTAAGTGCCACTGAAACGAAATTTTTGTATGTGAGATTTTTGCTTAGTAATAAAGTTTCAACCTTACTTGGAAACACTGCAAACTTTTTTTTCGCATAC